TAATTGGTATGCACTAAACAATGCAAACTTTTAAAAACCGCTCTATTATGCATGTTGTGCCACATATTGATTTTTTTAGGGATAATAAAGAGGATGACATAGTCAGGATGCTTGCTGAAATTGTCATATCTTACATTTCCCCAATTAGAAAACCATGGATGAGATGCTTCATAGATGGTGGAGAGAGTCATACTTACTCCCAAAAATTGTGATGTTGAATGACAAGATTATTAACAAATTCTCTGGAGATGAACATATTTTGTTATCTTTTGATGAGGTTGATGGTGATACTCATAATCTATATCAACATGAATACTTATACACAATTGCTCCTGGTACTTTACCACCACATATTTTAAAGATGAAAATAGGGGCTCCACTGATGTTGATGCGAACATAGACCCTAAATTTGGATTGTGTAATGGTACATGGCTGTTATGTCGTGGTTTTTATGAATTTGCTTGATGTTGAAATCCTTACTGACCACAACGTTGGAAAAAGAGCTTTATTGCCAAGAATTAAGCTCAAAACCACTGAAGGTGCGAGATTTTCTTTTGTGCTAATTAGAAAATAGTTTCCTGTTAAACTAAGCTTTGCAATCACTATAAACAAATCACAAGGACAAACAATTCCAAATGTTAGAATTTATCTTTCACGACATGTTTTCAGTCACAACAATTGCACGTTGCTTTATCAAGAGGTGTTTCGCGTGCTGCCACAAGAGTGCTAATTAAAGACGAAAAAGTAAATGGGGAAGAAGGGGTGTTTACCAAAAACATAGTTTTTAAAAAAAAATTATTGTCACAAACTCATGTATTTATCTATTATATTTAAACGTTCAACTATACTTTTGCAAAGTCACACTTAGCGTGCACTCACTAGATTACACTATATTGTTGACTACTAAAATTTACTTCATTTGTTTTGCAGTAAAACAAGAGATATTTTTTATTTCGATTTTATGGTTCACCTTCCTATTTTTTTCCTTATTTTATTTAAATCTTCGTATGATTTTGTACAATCTATAACAATACATAAATACAAAATTTGATTTTGGTGTAATCTATTTTCTTTTTCCTTAATACGGTATTTGTAACCATCAAATTATTCCTCTCACATTATTGATTTTCTTGAAAAAACTGGTTAAATATAGTCACGTCACTATGCGGTTTTCTCAATTCAAACAAAATTTAATACACGAATATTACATATTGCAAATAAAACTTAATATGTATCTGAATAAATACAATATATTTTGTCATATAAATATTTTATATTAAAATCAAACTTACAAAAAAGACATGTCAATATTTCCACGCGTTAGCGCGGTAAAAAAAGCGGACAAACGGGCACGGAGTGATTGCTCCTGGTGCTTTACCGCCACATATTTTAAAGATAAAAATAGGGGCTCCACTGATGTTGTTGCGAAACATAGACCCTAAATTTAGGTTGTGTAATGGGACAAGGTTGTTATGTCGTGGTTTTTTTATGAATTTGCTTGATGTTGAAATACTTACAGGCCACAATGCTGGAAAAAGAGCTTTCTTGCCAAGAATTAAGCTCAAAACCACTGAAGGTGCGGGACTTCCTTTTGTGCTTATTAGAAAACAGTTTCCTGTCAAATTAAGTTTTGCACTCACTATAAATAAATCCCAAGGACAAACAATTCCAAATGTCGGAATTTATCTTCCACGACATGTTTTTAGTCACGGAAAAGTGTATGTTGCTTTATCAAGAGGTGTTTCGCGGGCTGCAACAAGAGCGCTAATTAAAGACGGAAGAGTAAGTGGGGAAGAAGGGGAGTTTACAAAAAATATAGTTTTTAAAGAAATTTTGTTGTCACAAACTCAGGTATTTATTTATTATGTTTAATCATTCAACTATACTTTTGCAATGTCACATTAGGCGTGTACTTACTAATTACACTATACCGTTGACTACTAAAATTTACTTCATTTGTTTTGCAGTGAAATGAGAGATATTTCTGATTTTGATTCCATGGTTGACCTTCCTATTAAGCAATAATGTAACTTAATATATGTGTTAATGTTTATGTTTAGTTGCTTAATAAATTGTGAGAAAGATTTTTGTTCTTCTTCTATCTAAATCTTCTTATGCTTTTGACTAACCTATAGTAATATATAAATACAAACTAATGGTGGAGGTTGACCGAAATGATATTTATATAAAATTGCACGCGTAATATGGGTATAAAATTAGATAGTTTGTATTTATAATAGGACATAGGTAGAACAGAAGAGATAATTACATTCCCATTACTGAAGGAGCAGAGCTTGAATTAACTATAATAGGACATAGGTAGAACAGAAGAGATAATTGCCTTTATATATTGTACATATATATTTATAACTCACTAATTATTAAAAAAGTAAATCTATCTCACATTATATTTATAAAATTAACAATATATAAAGGCAATAGTTAGTTTTGGTGTACCTTTTTATTTTCCAATTTTGCCCAATAATTCACACTATTATTCCATTAACACCCTTTACAAAAATCAACTATATAGACGGTTAAAAAACTTCTACCACCTCACATTTTAATTTTTTTATATTAAAATTACTTTAAAAACTATTTTATGATTATATCCTCATCTTTAGTAACAAATAATTTATTAATTAAATTAATTAAATAAGAAATAATAATAAAAAACTAATAACTTTTAAAAATAATTAACTGCTTTATAACTCACTAATCCCAAGAATCATGTAACAACTTCCGTACTTAATTAAATTAATTAAATAAGAAATAATAATAAAAAAGTAATAACTTTTAAAAATAATTAACTGCTTTATAACCCACTAATCCCAAGAATCATGTAACAACTTCCGTACTTAATTAAATTAATTAAATAAGAAATAATAATTAAAAAATAATAATAACTTCTAAAAATGATTAACTGCTTTATAGCCCACTAATCCTATTATTGAATGAAATAGAAGCATATAACAACCTTCGTACTCAACTAATATTACTATATTTAATTATATATTTAATTGTTTTAATTTTGAAGATTTATAATGTATTTTATTTATGACTAAATTTATCCAAAGCTTTTTCTTAATAAAACTGAATGATAATCTATAACAATATATAAAGGCAATAGTTAGTTTTGGTGTAGCTTTTTATTTTCCAATTTTGTCCAATAATTTACACTATTATTCCATTAACACCCTTTACAAAAATCAACTACATAGACGGTTAAAAAACTTTTACCACCTCACATTTTAATTTTTTTATATTAAAATTACTTTAAAAACTATTTTATGGTTATATCCTCATCTTTAGTAACAAATAATTTATTAATTAAATTAATTAAATAAGAAATAATAATAAAAAAGTAATAACTTTTAAAAATAATTAACTGCTTTATAACCCACTAATCCCAAGAATCATGTAACAACTTCCGTACTTAATTAAATTAATTAAATAAGAAATAATAATAAAAACATTTAGACCAAAATAATTCAATATTGATAAAAAAAATTGGAAATGAAGTATTCATTTTATAGTAACAATAAAGTGTAAATAAAAAATTTGATATTGGAATGGAGAAGATGACAAAATTTTAAGCTAAAAGATAAAAAAAAATTGTGAGCTTCTGTAAAAATTTTGTGTGATTTTGGGAAGAAGAAGGAGTGTGAGATTATATGAAATTTATTGTGAGCAAGCTAAAGAAAAAAGGAAAGATTAATAAATACAATACCTTGCCTTTATGACCTCTGCAATGTTTTTTGGAATCTGCGTATGTCGGTTTGCTGGATGTTTAACACACCGCAATGCACGTGAACGAAGTAATAAGCACGTCGCAACGTCAGTTGTTGCTGGGTGCATGACATGTCGCAATGTATGTGACCATTGCTGAGTTATTTGCACCTCACAACCTTCTAACACAACTCTGCCAAATCCTGCATTGAATTGACTTGCCATAACGTTCAAATTTTGAATTTTGAAAATTGTCTTGTGAGGAGAATAACACCTCTTAAACATTGTTTTAAAAATTTTCATTTTCTTTCAGATGACTTGCGATGTGATATATTTAAAAATAAAAAAATTTATTTGGATAAATGAGTTGTGAGGTGAGTATCATTCAACAACCATCATTTTTTTTTGCAAGGTGAAACTCACCCATCAAAATTACCCAATTAATATTAATTTTTTTTGTAGTGCAATCTATCACAAATCTTAAGAGTTAAGATAGAATTCTTCACACTACTACATTTAAGATAAGCATGAAAAAACTCTATCACTTTTTAATCTTTTTATCACTCAAAGAGTCTAAACACTTTACCACCTATTTTAAGGACTCAATCTGAAAATCAAGATTTTCAAAAATTTGTTTATTCTTGACTTTTAAGATTGATTTGAGAATTTTAAACTTTCTAAAATAACAAAAAAAATTCAAAAGTGGATCGAAGAATCAAACTAGATAGATTGGACCAACTCAAACCTCCTTATCATACCTAAATTCAATTAGTGATGCTCAATGAACCTTTTTTGGAGATGTCTTTGATCATTGTCTCATTACCTTAAGTATGATAATAAATTATGAGGCTCAAAACCTTTTAGATTCAACAATCATGGGTTATCTCATCTTGATTTCCCTGATCTTGATTAGAAGCTTAGCTTCAAATCAAATGAGTTGTCAATATATTTCCATAATAAAAATTAAAGAATCCAAGAAACAATTTACTTAAAGATTTTTAAACAATATATTTAAGATAGTAAAGACCTTCATCATAATTAGTGAAAGAGTACGAAATTCAAAAAGAAAATATAGTTATAACACATGCACGTGTCAAATGCCTAAAATCCAATAATAGAACCTCTATCCATTTGTAGAGAACCCATTATTTTTCGCCTAACATTTCTTCTAACCACTCTCATTCCCTTGTTTTTTCTCTATCAATACTTCCACAAACACCTACTAGAAGAGAAATTTGCAATTGAAAATAAAAAAGAGAAAATAAGTGAAGATGGCAGGAACAAATAATAATGAAACAATGAAAGATTCACCACGACAACATTCAACTGAAGTACTTCACCAACGTAAGAAAATGCCATTTTGTCCAATGAGAATGGCCATAGGAGGATTTGCGGCAATATCTGTCTTAGGTTACTTTGTTTTGTACGCTAATAAGAAGCCTGAAGCATCAGCTTTGGATGTTGCTAAGGTTTCAACTGGAATGGCTCATCCAGAGAATACTCATCCACGTAATTAAAATATTTATCTCATCATCAATCCATGAAGCATTATGACAGTTTGTATTATTCATTGTACTATGTTTTTGTCTAGCTATTTTTATTCTTTATTTACATAAGTTTTGTATAGTTATCATCGATAGAGTGCAATAAACATTGGATTTTTATATTGTTGTTTTGGAAGATGAATATAAAGGTAAAAGAATAAATAATTGGTCTACGAACGGTCCGATAGCCTTAGCCCTGCCAGCTAAGGGCAAAATTAAGCTCTCTCTCCTCTGCCCCTCTGTCGAGAAAGGATGGTCAGCTGAACCTCAGGATCAGCTGCCCCTCGTCACATTCATGCACGTCACGAACAGTTTCACCATCCAGAAATAGTCACGACGATTGTGTCTGCGATCGCGCCCTTGCCCGTGAAAATAAAATTAGGATGTTTGACCGAAATTAATTGAAATATGTATCCTTAAGAGTTAATTTCAGGCGGTAGTAGGTTCAATTATCCTGGCTTTGACTCTTAATGAAGTTATAAAGTTGGTTAATCACACAATTTTATATAAATATCATTTAATCTAAAAAAATAAAAAATATATATTAAAATAATAATAATTTATATATATATATATATATATATATATATATATATATATATATATATATATATATATATATATATATATATATATATATATATATATATATATATATATATATATATATATATATATATATATATATATATATATATATATATATATATATATATATATATATATATATATATATATATATATTACTATTCATCTTATTGGTGAACAGTGAAATACGGTGTAGGTGTGTGAATTTGGTGTAAAAATAACATTTTTCTATGAAATATAATATAATAAAAGAGAATTACTTCTTCCACCTCCCACTTTAAATGGTGGAGAAAATTAAAAAACCACCTCCCACTTTAAATGGTGGAGAAAATTAAAAAATACTCTTAATTCTAAAAATACATTTTCTAGCATACCTATTTCACACCAAAACAATATCTAAATGAGACACGCTCTTATTTTTCAAAATCTAACTTGGAAGTGTTTCTACAGACAAACCACTTTAATAATTTTGTTCATTTAACAAATCAATGACATACACGGAAGTACTGTATTTGCCAAAAGGGAATTTGAAAGGAAAAAAATATCACTTTGCAAGTGTTTTTTAATTGAGTGCCAATTTCAGAAGTGCGTTTCCGAAAATGTGAAGTGGAAAAATTTAATAAAATAGCACATTGCATGTGTTGCTTCACTCATGAACATGATTAAAAAAACCATTTTTTTCAAACCCTACCAAAACCACCATCCATGTTGAATCATCTTTTCTGCTTCAAAATAATATTTGAGTATTTTTTCACATCAAAAAGAGTAAAAGAAGTTGGAGTTTAAGGTAATGTACATGTACTTCCTTCCTCATTACTCGTATTAGTCTGGTTTTCTGTTTGAAAAAAAGAACATTTCGTCCAGAAATGTGTTTTTGGAATTGTGACGAATGCCATTCGGAACTGTATTTTCGAATTAGTTCAAAGTTGAATTTGATCATTTTTTGAATATTTTTTGTTATGATTGACCTTATATATGGTGCACTCTGGTGTTCTCCCCAAATCTATTGTGTCTACGGATGCCAAACCAGTTGATGTCAAGGTAGAAATTGGTAAACAATTTACAAATGAACAGAAGTTTGTTGTTCGTGATCATATGCTCCAATAGATTCGCACAAAGGCTGCCAAATTGGGTTTCAACATTGTAATTGAAAGTTCAAATAATGGTTTAAATAGAAGAAATGTATTTGTGACACTGTTATGTGAAAGAAATGGTAAATACACAAATCATATCAAGAAGTTGAAACGGGATGATACCGGTTTAAGGAAATATGAGTGTCCTTTTAAGTTACGGGGATACCTTATCGAATAATACATGAAGATTTAATGTGATTTGTGGTATACATAGTCATGACATATGTCGCAAGTTAGTTGCTCATTCCATTGATGTCGCCTTAAGGATAAAGAAGAAAGTAGTTTCTGACATGGCATTGAACATGGTGCAGCCCAAAAATATACTTGCATCTTTGAAAGGGAAAAGACCTGAAAATATCTCAAATATCAAGCAAGTATACAAGTTAATGCCTCCTTTTCTTCCAATCAACGGGACGTTAGGAAAACCACCACAGTTGTAGATAATATATGTACCTAACTGATCTCTATCAAACCATACAATTTCCTTGGAAGTCAGGCCCATCAGTATCTCTGACCATTCTGATGTACTTGCAGTGTCAACAAAAGGACCAGACTTGGGAAGGTGACTCACAAACCACCTGTATAAAAGAGGTACGCAATAAGACACATTCTTTCCTCTCCGATTCACATTCTTGTAATGCGCAGAATGATACACATCCCCTAAAAGTGTAGGCATGAGATTCCTCGAGACGAATATGTGGAAAGCATCCAAATCCACAAAGTTTGGAATGTTAGGAAACAACATAAGACTATATATGCACAGAGCTAAGATGGAATTAAAGACAACCCAACAACCATCCTTTGCAAACAATTGAGCTTTATCAACCAGGAAAGGCAATGGAAACCCAGGCATCCCATTCCTTATGACCAATTTCCCTTCTAACTCAGAAGCATCCAGATGAAGGGAATTAGCGAGGTTAGTCAAGTCAGGTTCAACTTTAGTATGATAGAAAGGCATCTGGTCCAAGATAGGGACTCCAAGAAGCATAGAGAACTCCTACAGAGTAGGCACAAGCACATAACCAGGAAAAGTGAAACACCTCAACTGTGGATCATAGAACTGGAGCAAAGTGTGGAGACCTCCCAACTCATACACTGAGGCTTTGCAAACACAACTCAGAAGCTTCCCATATGACTTCCTGAAATCTTCCATTACAGTATGATCAGCAACATAAATCAAACTGAGCATAGATCCAATGTCGGGAGTAGGAAATCTGTACACTACAGTCTTCTTTAAACTAGGCTCCATGTCAGAAGTGGAATAGCTCACTAGAATCGAAGGGAAAATATACACCTGCAACATAAATACATGTCAATGCTAATATGCAAATGAAAATGCAAATGCAATAGGGGATCAAGATTGTTGTGTTGTTGACTAAGATGAACCAGCGTTTCGCTTCGGCGAGGACATAACACAAAACTGATATAAGGACCCGCTGTATCAAAATCACAGGTTTACATTGACGAGAAAACCGGGTAGGTTAAAGGCCAAAGTTTCCTGCATAACCCTCCCCACTCACAGGTATGAACCTATCTCTAATAAGGTCTGGCATCCTATGCGGTTGTCAGTGTCACAGACTTTCGAGAAACGATGATACGTTCACCATTTCTGGTTTGGCATCATAGTCTAGCGAAGCGGCCTCACTTAGCTGACTCCCAAGTGATCGGTCTCCAGAGTCGACAGTTTCCAAATCCAACATCTCCGTCCTAACCAGCAGGATGAGATATCTTCAAAAGAAACCTCGTTTGAACATGAATTTCATGAGGACTAGTGCATGCTGCCATACAGGTCCTCACTACTCTCCACTCTAATGCTATGGTTATACTCAAGCCTGGGTTTTGGCTTATCTCATAGTGGAACATTCCCACCCAACAGCACAGCAATATGATAATAAAGTGCTGAAAGTAAAATGCAAATGCAAATAAAGTACAACACATATATACACACCCAAAGATAAACATACAAGCGCTAGGATTGACTCGCATAAGGGATGGGAAAAGTCTCCAGCAGAGTCGCCAGCTGTCACTACTGTAAAAAAGGGCCAAAAAAGACAGAAGAGTCGCCACCGTTTGTTATTTATTCCAAAGAGAGGGAAAGGAAACGATCAGAGAAAACCTACGAAAAAGGGAAAAGACAGGTCATCGCAACCAAATCTTGGGTTCGGGAGTCGGTTACGCAAGGGGAAGGTATGAGCACCCCTCATGTCCATTGTACTCAACGGGATCCACGCTTGTTGTCTAATCAAAGGGTGTGTTTATCTATCTATGCTACAGGCTCACAGGGTTAAAAGAAAAGAAAAGAGACTCGATAGAGCATCACCACTCTATGCCTATGTATTCCCTTGTGCAATGGGAAAGTTAGAGTTAACGTAGTTCGGAAAACTACGGGTGAAAATGGGGAAAGGTTGCTCGCCAAGACATCGTCGTCTTGTGCCTACGTATGTTCGCCTGGTACGAGAAATTAGAGCAAATGTAGTTCGGGCTGACACGACCACAGATTCGTTCAAATGTTTTACCCGAGTAGGGTTAAACCTTAGTTCTAGAAGTTAGGTTTCAAATGTTTTACCCGAGTAGGGTTCAAATGTTTTACCCGAGTAGGTTTAAACCAAGAGTTAACAACACTCTCTTTTTTAAAAATGATTTTTAATTAATCCCGAAGGATAAAAAGGTTTGATGTTTGTTTTTGAGTCTTTTATGAAGAAGAAGTGAATTGAATTGTGTTTGTAATTCATGTTGCACTAAAGATTATGACTTAGGAGTGAATGCGTCGCATATCGTCCAAAGGACATATGCTAAACACTCTAGACAATTGAGAGGAGGCCCCCCAATCATCATTTCCCAAATGTTTAAGGCTCGCAGCGTACAACACTTATTATCCTTTATTAGATGTTTTGAAATGTTTAGGAGATGAGAAGAGAGAGACGCGAACTCTAAGGGAAACTAAACAACCCTAATGTTCTCATGCAAAATAGTCCTAAAGTTGGGATTGAAAGGGGAAAATCTACCCTAATTTTAGCATGCTTGGATTAAACACTTAATATCTCTCCTACTCCCATCCTAAACGGAGGGACTAGGAACCCTAAGGGATCATGTCAAAGAGAACCAAGAAAGCACAAGATAAATCAACCACAAGTGAAAAGGAAGGAATAAATGTAACAAAAGAAAAGTGGGAGGAAAAAAGTGTGGGGCAGCAGCCACCACAAGCACATCTCAACCTCTTGTAACAAACAAAAAGATGCAAAGCAAAAGAGG